GGTGGACCAAAGTAGAAAGACGGAAATCAAACAACGAGTATTGATTCGAACACTGAGCAAAATCGATACTCGTAGATTTAATGATTGATTTTGTTATATCGATAAGTCGTACAGTAATTTGAATACCTATACATTTCATATATATATATATATAGTTGTGAGGCGCGCCTGTAGTTTTGCTGAGATACGAAAAATTCGGAATTCGCGATCAATACGAAGGCCGTATATATTTATTACGTCTTTCGGATCTTCTACCATTGTCCGAGAGGGGGAAATGAAGGAAAATTGAAAAATCTGTACGAAGCCCTTTTTTTCACTGACATCAACATTTTTCCTCGAGTCTGGTAGCACAGCTTTTTATTGGTCTGGTGGATATTTGTGAAATTAGCCAAATAAAGTTCGCACGACTTTTCAGTGCTTCTTTATCTGTTTAGTTGGACTGTAACGATCTGCCTAAACTACACGACTGCGGCTTGTAATTAAGTCAACTCGTGTTTCTAGGAGCAGCAATTTCGCACAAAACTCCCAGACCTTTTTTTTTCAAGTGCATGACTCAAGGAACAAGTAATGCATAACGCAGAGACACGTGCGCGCGAAACATTAAGGGTATCATAAAAAAAAGTTACGTATGATATTTTACTACACACTCGGTGTCGAATTAATTATCTCAATGATACTAACTTTGTAGAATAAATATTTCGTTACGTGTCTCTCGGCCGAGAATAAAATTGACTGGAAAAATGAAAATGGATATCTGTCAATAATAAAAAAAAAAAAATATATAAAGTATGCTCGTAATAAATTTTTCATATTTTCCTTCAAAGTCCGTCCTGTGCTTAATATATATATATTTACTCGGTTGAAAAAATGTGCTTTTCCTGAATATGTCAAAACCCTCAAAATGTTTCGTCATAACGTCACGCTACTTATCCCTCGCGCACAAAGTATACATTTTGTCATTCGTCAAGCTTCGGTTTCGGCCACGTGTAGCTAACAGGAGATATTCGAAAGTGCCTTTGAGCAAAAAATTTCTTTCCTTTCGCATCATCGCAATGACGATCGTCAGGATCGTCACGAGGGTCGAGTTGGATCTTCAGATCGTGTTTGATGAAACGAATTAAACGTCACAATCTCAGTGTCACAAGAGTTTAAACCTGGAACCGCTTAAGAATTCCGGTGGTCGTTCGTTATCGCATTGTTTCATATACAAATTCTCCACAAACCGCAAACAACTTATTCTAAGGTTTTGTACAAAATTATATATTCTTATATATCATTATGTATAGAGTTGGGAAAGTAACTAACGTTCGATCCCCCCCAAGTACACGAGTCAAGTAGTTTTCATTTGTATACTTGAGTCATACAATTTCCAAGGGCGCAGTTTGGCTCTGCAAATACATATTCGCCCTAAGAAGAGATACCTTGTTCTGCCTTATCATTCGATTTGAAATTTACTTACTTCCAGCTGTATATATATATATATATTATACATAAACCTATATATTCATCTTCGTTAAATTCCCGATGAATTCACGGAAGGCAACAAGGTACCTCTTCGAATACGTAATTTATACGATAAATGTCTGCAGCCAATATATGGAGAGATAGTAAAAGATAGAGACAGACAGAGGAGGGGAGTAGTGGGGGCGACGGAGAGAAAGACTTCTCGAACGGTGCAACGAGCAATAAAATGCATTGTCACAAGGTTGGATCTTAGTATTTCCAGAAAAATCGCTCAGACGTTCCTGGCGATTGCTAGTTGAGTTCTTAAAAAAAAAGAGTGAATAAAGAAAAATAAAAAAAAAGGCCAATCAACGCGACAATTTGTTATTCTCAAACAACGTGTAAAACCTAAGAAAATGTTAAGATCGGCTTGACTAGAGAAAAAAAAAAAAAAAAAAGAAAAATAAGCTTGTAGACTTGCCCATGGACCATTTCCGTAATTTATTGTCCTAAGTGAAATCCGATATCAAGAGGGAGCCCACGGTATACAGCGCACTCGATCATCCTCCTCCTTCATAACGATGGTTTTCATCGGGACGATTTCCGAATGAAAAGCAACGAGTGTAAAGTTGACCGCTATTCTTCCGGAAGACGTAGAGCGCAGCAGGAAAAGACGCGGAGTACGGTTGTACAAGATTCCCAAGATACGAGTTACGCTTAACCGACGTGAGAAAGTGCAAGCCCGGGCAAGGTGCGCGCGCATCGAGAGCAGCGTAGACGTACGGGCGTTCGAGGGCGGGAAAGATTTACGATTTGAAATAAGTACAGCAAGTCCGAGAGGAACCAGGGAAATAATAGTCTGGCGCGACGTGCGATCGGGAGGTATTAACGTGCTGCTTGAAAATCGACGCATCGGCCTTTCTTTCGCTTCCCGTGATATTGCACAATGTGACGTTTCCGGTCGTGAGCTCGTATACGTAAAACAATACATAAAGTGTTACGGGTCCGTCGAGTCTCTTAAAACGTAACATTTCGCAAGGGACTCCACTCGCTCTGCCATTGTCTTCTTATCTACCCACCCGCCTCTATCTCGTAATCTTTGCTCTTTTTATCCTTCTATACATTTTTCTTATGGAACTGGAATTGAAGCTGTACCAGTCGACCCGGAACCAAGAAAAATGACGAGCGAGTCTCTTTTCCTTCGTTCACTTTCCATCTCTCTCACTCCGCCTCACTCCGTACATCCTTATATCCTTCTCTCTCTCTCTCTCTCAGGCACTCCTGTGCCAATACTCCAAGCCGGAACAATCGTCGCGCGGACGAATGTTTTAGGCAGAAGACACGAGAGAGGCAAAGGGAGCCTCGATGTAAGAACCCGAAGACCGTAGCGAGCTCGAGTTAAATTGGCTTTGAAGAAAGCGATTAATTAGGAGGCGTTTCTCGTTCCTCGCTGAAACAATTCTTTCCCCTTCATTGACGATCGGTAGTTCGTAGCTTCGGGCCAAGCGCGTCAGAGTGGCCAACGTTCCAGATCAAACACCATATATACCCTCGGGCGACACTAAATTAAACGCGAGCCACTCCATTACGTAGGTACACTTGATTGATCCACTTCGATATCCTTCTTCGCCCATATTCCATATTCATCTGTTACATATATATAGTCTTATTGGGTCAATCGAGACATCGAGTCAGGTCATCGCGAAGAGAATGACATTTTCTCGCCTACCCTTTGAGCCAGAGAGATTCTCGCCACTCGCTATGTAGGAACGTATCTATTTTATACGTGGTGCATCACGTGACCGTGGGAAATTCGTTTTTGAAATTTTTTTTTTTTTTTTTTTTTTGAAAATCAGATATAAAAAGGGCCGAAACGATTTATATATTTTCTTCTCTCTCGATCCGTCTGATTCGTTAATCGCGATCGAGACACCCGGTATATTCAATGGATTGGCGATTAGCTCTCTCTCTCCTCATTAAAGATATCACACATTATCTCAGTTGGCCAAGTAAAAAGGCGAGCGTGACCAGGACCGTTCTCGACGTAGGTGATCCTGCTGCTGTGCTTCCGTGCTGCATAGCTGCTGGATGTTCGCCTGAAACAGGAAAGTTCATAATGGTTGGACCATTTTTATTTTCCTATGGCACACCCTTAATAGTACCGTAACAGCAATGTTATCCTATGTTAATTTCTTTTTATCGGTAGAAAGTAACTTTTTACAGAATGCAGTGGCCTTTACGGCCGAAGGGATAGGAAAAGGTTCGCTTTTGACTCTGATGCGCCTTACTCAGGCATCTGGCGCTGACTGATCGAATTACATCGATCGCACGTACAGAGTGCGAATCTGATTCTATTTAGTAGAGGGGCGAAACGCGTTTACTCTATTCGATAGACAATGTAATTGCTTGCTGAAATTTTTCGTTGGTCTATTTTTTTTTGTCCTTTAAATAATCGTTTTTCTTGTCTTCCTCGGTTCACACCGCAAGTTCTACTTCGATTCGAACTTTCGATCGTAGGAACAACGAGCGCCGTGTTGCTGGCGGTGAACGAGGAGGAAGAAAGTTCACTTTATGTATTACGAAACTAAGCTGTAGCTATGTATTTGCTTATGTACGGAAGCGAGTAGACTAGACTTTCGTGAATGCCTATAAGTTTGAAAAACATTATAGACTTCCTGTTTCAAGACCGCCTTTCATTTCTTGGAGACCGTAAAAAGCAAAGTACTCGGGAACTTGTATGGAGTATACCATTATTTTC